ATACTCGCGACGATAAATTAATTTTAAACGTATCTCTCTATACTAATTGAATAAAATGTGGCGGTTATTAATTTCCTACTTTTCCATTCAGTATTTATAGTTTATGCGGCACTTGACTGCGCGCCCCTGCATTTTATGCGCGAATGCAAATTACTTAATCTATGGTTATGTATAAGCAAGCCATCCACCAGCATCCTTTAATATATTAGTTTCACGTTTTAGTGATATTTACGTTTATGCATATTTCATGATGTTTAAACTCGAGAAGAGGGAAAGATTTTTTTTGCTTGTTAAACATGAAAAGATCGCATGGTCAATCGGTGGACATCGATCATTTGGCTTCCTGCCTAGGCCAAGCTGCGAAAGGCCTTAGCAACTTACTATCGTAAAGGGTAGTTTGTTAAAAAAATACATGTTTTAATCATTGACAATGTATTTTTTTTTAATAATTGATCTAATAAAAAATCATAGGTCTCACTCAACAAATTTGTGAAAAACGCTCAGAGCTCACTTTTAGGTTCTTTGTTTAGGAAATAGATCCCCACTGTTTCGACGATTCTTCTATTAATTTTAAATTACATTTAACACTTTCCGAAATCCAATTAACTAATCTGAATTACGGTAATATTAGTCTTCTGAAATATATCTTACCGTTTCTGAAATACACTTGACGAAGGTGTAGTTTGGATATCCTGATAAACATTTTTCAAGGGCTCAATTATTTTCCAAACATAATTTTTAGATATCTACTTCTTCCATTGGTAGATTGTCCAAATTCAGAGACTATTCCTTTGAAGCCTTTACTAAAAGAATTCTTCAGACATTTATCAATAATTTCATAGAATGTTCAAAGATTCATATTGTTGTGGGTATCTGTTAAGAATCTACAAACAATCTGTAAAAATGTCTGAAGAACATCGGAGGAACTTCTGAAGAACCTAATTTCTTTAACACAGAACCGCATAGCTAATGAATTATTAAGTGTAAATCAGGAGGATTATTTACGAATAAACACAAAGTTGGTTTATTTTGTTTGAATTGATTGTCTCAGTATCTATTTTTCCTTTTAGAATAAATTGTTTTTAATTGAGTTGAAAGGATGGAGCAGTGAACTGAGGAAGAAGCGGAAAGCGTGGAAAAAGTAAAATTGGATGGAGTATATGAAAGAGAAATTAAGAAAGGCAGCTAAGGAAACAATTGAGTAAATAGAAAAAAATGAAAAAGAAGATGACGGAAGAAATGAGAGGATTAATAGTGGAAATGAAGAGAAAGGAGAGCAATGGGAGAATGAGAAAGAAATATTGATGGGCACGATAAGTAAACTAGAAGAAGATCATGAAAGAGAAAAGGAGTAATGATTGAAAAAGGAAAAGAGATAGAAAATACAGAGGAATGGCTGAAAGAAAAATTACAAGTAGAGGCGCACGTAAAAGAAGCGGGAACAATTGAAGTAGGGAAAAATAAAGTAATAGTCGCGGAACTAACTTGGGAAAAGAATAAGGAAGTTATGAGAGGTGAGGGAAAGTTAAAGGGAGCAGGATATACATAGAAGATGAACTGACTTATAAATAAAGAAGCATACAGAGAAAAATTATAGATACCGGAGGGAGAAAGGGCAAAATGGGGTATAGGAAGTTGTAGGATGTAGAACACAGTAGGAGATTAGCGAGAAAGAAAACGAGTGAAGGAAAGGCAGGGTTGGGGGGGGGGGGTGATAACAGTAGAGTACAAACATATACAATTCCGAGAGTTTATATGAGGATGTAACGATGTGGGGTTGTTGGAATCATGAGTAGAAGAAAAGAACTGGAGGAAAAGAAAAAATAGATTATTGAGTCAATACAGATGGAAGGAACACTTCGGAAAGCGTAATAAAAATAAAGGGAGAGCAAAAAGGTGCATTTTAAAAGGAGTAAGAAAAGATGTAAGGGAATGGAGGAATGAAACGAAATAAGAAGGCATACAGAAAAGATGAGTGGAAGTGGAGATCAAAAGAATGACAGTGATAACAGAAAATGAATGAAACAGTTAAAAAATAAATTAGAAAATATGGTAGATGAAAGGGAGAAGAAGGGGCTAACAGTGGGGGGCGATTTAAAGCAAGGAAGAAAGGAAATTGAGCGGAGGTTGGAAGATGAACACAATATAGAGAGTCAAGAAATAAAGAATGGGGGAGTTGTTACTGGAATTAACAGGAAGAAGCGGTTGGAGAATATTAAACGGAAATAAGGAGGTATTTACATACTAGCAAACGGAACAATTTTGGAAGCAGTAGAAGGTAAGCATAAAGAGCAAGAAATCGAAAGATTCAAAGACGAAGGGAGATACAGTTATGAACAAGAGACACGGTAGAGGATTATAGAAGGAGGCTAGAGGAGCAAGTATATGAAATAGGAGAGAGCACAGAGGGGGAGTGGAAAAATATGAAGGAAATTTGAAAAGGCAAGGTAGATGAATGGTGATACAAAGAGTGTACAGAAGAGACAAACAGACACAGAACAATGATGGGGAGAGAAAGAAACGGTGAGATAAATGAGAAGGTGGTGGTCAAACAGAAAAAAGGACTTTTAGAAGATGATAAACAAGGGAAAAATAAAAAAACACACTTGAGGAAAGAGAAATACAAATAGAGGGAGAGGGAAAGAAGGGAGTGGAAGAAGACGAGATATTATGAAAAGAGATGGAGCAACCATTAAAGAGGCTGAAGAAAGGAAAAGCGGCAGGGAGGGATGAAATAAGAAATGGAAAATGGAATTGGAAAAAAAGGGCGGAAAGGTGATAGCATCTCATGAATCTAAGGTTAGCGTTTGACAAACTAGAAAGGGAAGTATGAGAAATGGTGGAGAGACAAGAAGTAGAGTAAAAATAGGAGGGAAGAAGTCTGAAGTGTTATGAGCATAATAGGATTGAGATAGGGATGCCCATTTAGCGCAACGGTATTCCATTTGTATATAAGGGATATGGAGAAAATATTAAGACAGGGCTAAAGAGGAGGAATCGTGATGAAAAGAAGGAAGACATGGGCCTTTGCGCGGATGACACAGTATTACTGAGAAACAAAAAAAGCAGATGAAGGAAATGATGGAAAGTAGCATTGGGCAAAAAAAATCGATAATCGATTATTTGATTAATCGGATATTTGATTGATTGATCAATTGATTAATCAATTAATAAGTATAATCGATAATCGAATATTCAAACCTCTAATTGCCCATGCTAGCATAGTATTGAGGGCCGTAACTCTTGTAGTGGGGATGATCACTGGAGAGCTTTAAAAGCTCCTTTTCCTGGGTGTATTACATATCCCACTCCCACCCCCCGGTGCTACGTTCTCGTTTCAAAACATATAGAACCATCAATATTTGTGGTCATCACGTTCGGGGGAGTATTCCATACCAACCTCCCCCAGGAAAAAGAGCTTCGATGGTTTTTTTCCTAAAGTCAGAGAATTGAAATACTTACGAGACCAAATGCAGCGTAAGAATAGAGCAAACGCACAAATAGCGGAATTAAGAAAAAAGGGAGAACTGGCGATGAGACAGGTGTGGGGAATAGGAAGAGAGGAGTTTTAAAATTGATTTCAGATAAAGAAAACACCTTTGTGACGCAATGGTGAGATGAGATCGGATGGAATACAAAGGAGGTACTACAAATGGATACTAAACAAAGGACACCAGGATACAGTCGGGATGCAGGGCAGTAAGATTCGAGTAAAGGAGAGAAAGGGAAAGTGAATTGGTGGAAGAAGCGTTAGCGACGAGGATGAATGCAAAACGAATTTGGTGGGAACAAAGGAAAAACTACTACGAAAGTAACGGATACGGAGGAGCAGAGGCCGAAATAAGCAGAGAAATAGGGGAAACAATGGAAGGAGAAATTGCGAAACGAACCAAAGATGTTCAGTTTAGCTACGGAGAGTGAGAATCGAGAATTGGAAAGGTACAGGGAGTTGATAAAGGAGGTGATGCCAAAGTATCAAACAGATGGAAAGAAATATTGGATGAGGGGGAGAGAGATGGATGACGAGGATATAAGGTAGAAGAGATGAAAATATAAAGGAATGCAAAAAGTCTTTACCAATTGGAGTAAATAAATATTTATCTATGTGTTCTAGAAAGTGCTTAAAAGTTACGAAAAGCGAATCGAAAGCTTCCTAAGCAGCTTTGGCAGGGCACTTTGAAAAGGTCCTATAAAGCAATAGTAAATTCCTAGGAGACTCTTAATTAGAGTTCAGGAGCGCCTTAATTCTCTTCTAAAGCTGCCAAAAACTTTATGTGCACTCGATAGAAGATAGAATCACCATCCCTTACGCACACCCCCTATGTGTGATACATGATTCTAAGGCTTGACTGCATTTATTTGTAGCATAAACAAAACAAGTAGATCATCATTCACCTTACATTGTTTATTTTATTTGCCTTTAAAGAATTCTTTTTGAGTATGGCATTCCAAAAAGGAGATTCATTCTTTCAGAGCAAGAAAGATGACTGGCCATTCACCAGTATAGAAAATCGCTTACACTTTCGCAAAAAAGTGAATATACATCGAGGCGAGCATTAATCAAAATTATAACAAGTACCGAAAAAATGCCCCCGCGAAAAACGAAAAAAAGGTTCATCCTTTAATTATACTTAAATCCGGTTAGATTTGTAATTGCAAGTAGCTGAAAGATGAAAAGTCCGCCAAATTATTTAATGTCATTTAATAATAGTTTATAAACAAGTTTATATGAAAAAAACTGGACGTAGGACAATGATTAATCTGCTGTTAAACGAGGTTGTTACATCGATTTTGTGCTTGTCTTAAATATAATTTGTATTCAAAGTATAAAATAAGTAAAGTAGCGAATTAATTGAGAGGAATTAATAATTGATCCTAATTAGAGGATTCCGTTCAATAACTTTGAGAGGTTGTTGTAAAAATAAAATTGTCCGACGCGCGGAAACGAATTTATAATATTAAACGGCCTATATTAATGAAGTAATAACTTAATGTCTTACCTGTACGGTAATTACAGTATCAGAATGTTGAATTCCATCGCTGGCTCTAATGGTCAACTTGTAAACGTCTTTCGTTTCTCTATCTACGGAATCAATTAGTTGAAGAACTCCTGAAGTGCTGTCAAGAGAAAAGTGGCCATCATCGCCAGCTACAAGAGTGTATTCTAAATTTCCTAACGTGTCAGGATCTTCGGCTTTTATTGTAGCCACCGGCTGTCCAGGACTCAGGTCTTCGGACACCGAATACTTGAGAGAAGCATCATTGAAAGATGGCGGACTGTCATTCTTATCCAGAACGGTTATTTGAACCTGTAACGAAATGCGTCGTTAATTACAACAATACGTCATGTAAGTTAGATTGGGCGTGCTAAAATAGGGAACGTATCAATCTGAAGCTAAATCTTTCGTTAAAAAACCGAAACCGAAATTGTCTTCCAATTAAGAAAGATAATGAGTAGTAATTATTTATGAGTTTAGCCGGTATGTTTGCTATTCGATAATGATTGCGACATTTTATTTCTTCTGGCATGTCCTTTTACGTGATAACATTTTTCTTTGACATATTTTCACCGAATATGATGGTTCGGTGACTGAAATGGCCCTCTAAGAAACGCACGGGGACAAGATGGACAAAGATCACAAAGTGACGAAAACAAGAGTACATTTAGTTAATACTCGGATCTCATTAGTATTCTCCGCGAATTAATCCAAAAACAGAGTGATAAAAGGCACCGACAACATTCATCGGCGTGCATTCCGACCCCGCTCATTTCGACCGCTAAACGACAGCAAGCAGAGCTGCAAATATTTCAAATTCGTGTTGAAAAAGTGCTCGGCCCACTGGACGCAATTCATAAACATCTAAACAAGAATGCCACGGCGAAAATGGCGAACTTCATAATTAACGTATTTCGCTAATGCGCTCTCGGCCTTCGAAAACTCTTCGCCATCGCTGACGGTTAAAAAATGCAATTTAAATGCAGAAGGACCCCACTGTGTGGGCGAACGTCTTTCAACGTTGGTCGGATGGTCAGTTGGTTAATCGTGCGACCTACAAACGTTTTTCATAAATTTTAGAAATCACGCGGGGTGTTCTTTTATAAGACCGCACTTTACACCACTTAAATTAAGTAACCTTGTTAATTAATTACTTAATTTCTACATTTCATTGATAAAGGGAGTTACTTTACTAGACACTCTGTAGTAAGCATCCCTCTGTAAAAGTTAATGGGGGATGCTTTACACCGCAAAGTGAGAGGAGTTTTTATGTCTTTTAAGCACCTATATCTGTTATATTTGGTCATCACGTTGTATCAATTCGCACTATCAGAATTTGATATAACCCACCATAATTTTCTTGCCTAAAAGATGTTAAAATGGAAATGTGTAGCCAAACCGTCATTTGTTGTAATAATAAGTCCATTATGTTCCTAAATTAATTACTGCAAAGATAACGATTCTTTGGTTAAAATGCAAATAAAAATACTTTAAATACCGAAGCTTTTGTGAACCTTCAAGTGGTGAACTTTTTAATACTTTTTTTCTTATTCAGGAATAAAGTGCAAATTCCGTGCTCTTGTCATGGAATTTGGTGACCTAATAGCAAAAATCATCAACACGGGTAGACTTAAAGCGGAAGTTCCCCCGTTACAGTGACACGCTTACTACTTAAACTAAGAATTCCCGATCTAAACTCAAACTCTGAGGTTCATCTCCAATCTAATCCCCTAATTTTCAACTTTGCTTTAAAACCAGATTGGGTTTAAGCATAAGTTAGGCACCGAAGACGTGCTATATTGCAAACCTTTACGCTAACCTAGACAATTCTATTCCCCCAATGGCAATATTTTTTGACTTGTCCAAGGCTTTTGATTGCGTATCCATTCCAATACGGTTGGAGAAATGAGAATGGTACGGTATATGTGGAAGTGGAAGTACACTATTAAGAACAGTAAAAAACCGAAAAGAACCGAGAAAAATAATAAGGGTTCCGGTTCCCAATAAGTTTCCATTTCTGAAGGAATAACGGTTTCGGTTCGGTTTTCGGTTCTTTTTCGGTCCGGTCCAGGTCCCTGTTATCAAGAAAAAAATCAAACTTATTACGCAATTATTATAATATTATTTAGGACTATATTCAAGTCGATTATTGTAAAATAAATTATTTTGTAATGTGTATCAATTATTTTAGAAAATATCATCAAAATGCTGCAACACATACGTTGGGAAACTGACAGGTTATCAATACCAATTTTCGATATTATAACGAATAAAGGTATTTTAATCTTGAGTAAAATTCATAATTCATAAAAAAGTTTAAAATATGCTTCAGTTATCCACCCTGTATATAATTTATTTTAGGCTTTAATAATGTCCAGTAAACTGATTACATTGGAATGCACTACATAGTCTTTGGCACTACACAAATGAAAATAGGCCACAGAAAAGGGTCGCAACAATAGGCTCATACAGTATGAGGTCAAAAACCCGATAGGTTACCATAAATACTTTTAAACGAATGCGCTATGATGAGTTATTCCTTTGTCCCACCCCCAAATGGATAGATAGATTTTTTTTAAATACCTTCTTCATCCACCTCTTTCCTATCCCCCCTCATTTAAAAGAGTCGTTAAGGCGCACTTATTAAGTCATTCTTTTTATAACGTTAGTGAATATTTACATACGCCTTGGAGATCTATTCAATAATTTTAATGATATTTATTTATTTCATTGTTTGTTTACTTGAATTTTTGTACCTGTGTAGTAGTATTCTCTTTAGTCATTTTTACCTTTACTTGTTTATATTTTATCTCTGTTTTGTCTCTTTTTAACTAAAATTTTAAATTGTTTATAATCTATATTAATTTTAAACTGTTTTTATTATTCTTTTTATATATGTGCATTGTACTAATTTAATATTTACCATATTTTCTGACGTGTCAAAACCTATTTTTGGTATACGGACAAATAAAGATTGATTGATTGATTGATTGATTGAATATTTCTCTCTGCTTTTCCCTGTTCTATCTACTTCTTTGTATTCAATTAGCAGGTGATCAATATCTTCTTCTTCTTTCGCCTCATTTTGCTCTTCTCTTTATGTTGTCCTTCTTTGCAAATTGGTTCTTCCAACTGTATTTCGGTAACCTATTCCTCATTTTCTCCCAGTTCTTTTCTCCTATCCATGATTCCACCAACACCGGCACAGCATATCCACTTACAAACTCTCGGAATTGTACAGGGTGTCCTATTAATAAAGGTCACAGGTCATATCTATGGAAAGCTTTATTTATTTCGAAATTCCGATAGAGTTTCGACTTTATTTCAAAAATTCCAACTGGAACTCAAAATTTGCATCTTACATTAGAAAGTCCCTAGCTTCTTCAACTTTCAAATTCTGTAAAAATGAAACCTAAATTTTGAATAATGAAACCTGTGAGCCAAAGGAATTTTCCATTTAAAATGGGAATATCTCTACACAAGACGCTTAAAAATAAATTTCTTTAAGAATTCTAGCATAAACTCATCCGGTAAGGCCATCAGAAATTCCAATTGGACCCTGAAATAGGCACTTCATCCCGGAAATTACGATGTAAAATAAAACCACTGTCTATCCCTAGTTTGAGGTAACTACATCGTAGGTAAAATGGGCATGACCCCGAAAAGCCTTATTAAAAAAAAAAAAACTCAGGATGTCATCTGAAATTCCGTGTTTATCTCGGAAACCGTAGAAGCAGTTAAATAATTTACGTTACAGTGGAAAATTCCGATCAAAACTGGGTAAATCACATTGTTTTTGACCATAATCTCGAAATTTCCAACGTAAATTCGAGTTTAAACCAATTTTTGTATAGCATCGAAACCTTCAGAGACATAAAAGTAGGCTACTACCTCTTTTGATTTTGATTAATTTTTGTTCTAACGTTCTAACGGCATTAAATGACCATTTTGGTAACACGGAATTTCTATAGACATTTGAAAATGAACCTTCCCAAGTCGGAATTTAATTGAAAAAATAACAAAAATCCAAACATATTAAAAGTGGATATTTGCGTAGCCAATATAAGAATTTCATCAAAAGTGGCGGTATCGTTTCCAGAAACTTGAAGGCTTCTGATTGCTAATTTATGAGAAAAGTGATTTTAACAAAATGGCGGCCCAAATAACATCAGAAACTGATCAGTTCTTGACTCGTTCGAGTGGCAATTGCGAAATTAATACCTTCAAATTTTTGGAAATTGTAACATATAACTAGGTACGCCTATTCTAAGAACAAAAAAGCTCAGAAACATATTTTAGCCATATTGGACGCAATTTTTATTTGTTTTTAACTTTCTGTTATCAATTAATGTGGAATCAGCGGCTTTCTAAAGTGTGAGCGTGGGAAAAAATATTTCTTTTTTGCCCTTCCGGTTACTCCAATTTGAGATTAGAAACCCATAACTATGTTGAAAAGACAAAGAAAAGACACAAAGCGAGAATTTTGATTGGCAAGGATCATTGTCGGATTCCAAACGTTTTTGAGGAACACATGCTTGCCAAAACTTCCCATTCGGCTTAAGAAACGTGGGCCGTCTAAACGGCAGTCTTCTCTTGATTTTTGTAACACGAACATTCCTTTGCTGATTAACTGTGCAAAGGTAAAATGCACCTACACGAAAGACATTTGACTTTATCGGTTTATTTTCTATTCATTAAATTTTTGACGCTACCGTTTTAACGATAAAGCTGCGCCCATTGGACAAATACAAATCTGACAAGTGGAAGCGAGTATTCCATAATTATAATAAAGCGGAGGTTAATAATAGAAAAAATTCTTTTCGAAGCGACACACCTTTACACGGATTAATCTACACTTAACAGTAATACTGATCACAACCTCTTGTTTCGAGTACGCGTAGGAGTCCGCAATGCTAATATATTGTACATACACACTTCTAAATTGCTCGATTCAAAAACCCTTTACACCTTTTAATGGCCGAGATCCGTTTAAACAAATTGACACCGGCAACTATTTTATGGTGGTCCTCGTATAACCGCTTAATTATACCCGTATATAACATTCCTCTTCCATGACGGTCATAAACTGGGTTAATGATTTAGAAGTCAATAATTTGCAAATTATTACCAATTACGTGCCTATAATCGTCATTTTTCCCGTACTAAATCTCAAAGGAGAGGCCCCAATCGGCCACTAATGATCGAGGAAAAAAAGGTCATAATAAAAACTCTTGTTTGTCTCTCGCATTTTACACGATAATCAGTAGTCAAACTGGTGAGGAAATTTTTCTTTTTAATTTATAATTAAACAG